ATAATTATTAATATTTTATATATTATATTTTATATTATATTATTTATTATAGTTATGTATGGAATTTTGATTATTAATATTATTTTATTGGATTTTTGATATTAATTAATATAATTTTTAATTAAGATTTAATTTATTTTTTTGTTTTATTAAATTTAAAATTATTTTGTAGAGATTTATTTAAGTTTATTTTATTTATTTTTTTTAAACTTTTAGTTTTAATGGGAAGAATAATGAATTAAATTGATATTAAAGTGTTATATTTAATTGATATTAAATTTTAATGTTTAAAATTAAAAAATTTTTGTATTTTTCTTTTTTTATTTTTGTTATTCGTTTATTAATTTGTCGGAGACCAGAAACCCCTCGAAGTCTGTCGATCCCGATTCGCATGACACATCGGAGGAAAGGCACGAGACCGCTTTTGAAAATGCAGCGGACACTTTCGAAGGAAATATTACCGAAAGATCTTCGAAGGATTCGTGGTTTACTTCGCCTACCCACGTTCTAACCGATAGCGATGCAAAATCTGATTGTCACGCATTTCACGAGCACAAACAACCTATACTTGCGAGATTATCGAGCCATTTGAAATCACTTGGTCGGATGAAAGATTTGTCGTTACCGAATAAAATATTATTTCGGCAAAGCGTTACATTTTGTGATGCTCCGCGGGCACGTGTCGGTCCGTTAACAGATGCTTCAATAAATATTCCGACAACATCAACACGTGGGATCGACAGACGGCGCAGGAATGCTTGAATATGTGAGAGAAGATACGACAGATGTTAGCTTATCTCGGGAAAATCGCGTAATACGATTGAGCGTTTCAAAATCGTCTCTTACGATTCGCGATCGATTCGCGTTGAATCTTCTTCACCCAGGTCATATAGGGATGTTGTTAATTTCACTATGTAAATAAAATCGTTCGCTTCTTACATTTCAAAATAATATATTTCAATGACGAGAAAAATGAAAAGATTATGAATAAAATTTCGGGAGAATATTCATCTGTAAAATATTTCTATAATTAATATAAAAAAAGTTATTGTTAAGTCTAAATATTTTAAATAAATTTAAACAATTTTAAAATTAGACAAGCTTTTGATATTAATAATATTGCTATTTTGTGTATAAGTCTTCTCGTTTGAAAAAGTAATATTTTACACAGATGTGAATTTTAATATATTTTGTACGAGTAAATCTAATATTTAATATTTTACAATCATTCATTTATATTGCTCGCGCATAAAAAAGAACATTAAGTATCATCTTATCTACAAAATTGTAAACTTTTGTTTTTAGTTATTTGAATTTTAATAAATTATATATTAGATTTACAGAAAAATAAATCATTATATGTTTAAAAGTTTGGTAGAATTCAGGCAATTTAGCTTGTTAATTTAATTATAAATGCGCTAGAGACTGATGTTTACTGTACCTTGTGTTATGACCAAAGGACCAAAGTGACACGTGGTATGGTGCATCCAGTAGGTGTCAGCTGTACGTCGGAGGAAACATCAAGTGAATATGCGCAAATGCAGGAAGAGAAGGACGCAAGTGCATGCTACGATGTGTTTTCTAATCTCGGTGACATCGGCTATTCGACTCTTGTGCCAAGCCCGCTGGCGCTAATATCCTTTGTTCTCCTGATTCTTGTTGCCATTACCTGGTCCTCCAGTTCAACCTTTTACCATCGTTACGCGTTACGCAAGAAAATCTGCTGGAAATAGCTGAGATTATAATCATACAAAATATTTTCGGGTTCATAATTAAACGAAATAAGAAAATTTAAATCTATCAAAATGCATAGGCAGATTAAATGAAAATTTGTGTACAACTCCGGAAATTTGTAATTAAAGTTAGTACACGATATGAATTTGATCAACAGCCTGTAAAATACATTTTATTCCAAATATAAAAATTGTAATAAAAATAAACATAAAATGTAAAACATGTAACGATAAATAAATGATTCATCGACAAATACACCAAATCATATTCGGAGAGAATATTAATTTTAATAAAACAAGTTTATTATTATTTATCATTATTGTTTTATTTTGTTGTGAATTATTTTTTCGGCGATTAATATTTATAAAATGCACATAATTGATTAAATAAAATATCGCAAGAATATATATCACCTTATGAAAATGTTCTTTTTTAATATACACGATGCATCCGCCTCGACACATCCCCCATCACATTGAGAGTGACATGGCGAATAGCGCTCGCGCTTTCTGTCAGTCGGCGAAATGACGCGTCGGAGAGCGTTTCCGTTCACGTTTTTGTCAGCGTTGGTGTTCTGTGTAACATTTCAACGAGGTACTCCCGCTGTTGCCGGAACCATAGAAAATAAGAGTGTTACTGAGAAAGCACGGCCAGAAGGCTGCGTCGAGTGCGGATATTACAGGTACATTGCGATTGCAGACAAAATTGATACAATCGAAAATTGTAGCAGCATAGTATACTAAAGAAACTTACAAGAAAATCCGACTTAGTATTACAAGTATCTCATATAAAGTTTTAATTTTCCTGTATATCCATTTAATTTCTTTCCTAATTTATATTATTGATATTATTGATGAAGCTATGTCTTGAGGAATAATTTTCTAAAATTTGAGATAAGTCGTCACTAATTAAGCAGAAAATATCTTTTTTGTTCTTTGTTATACGTGAATAGATGTCCAGAGAATCCTGGTAAATGTTTGTTGGGCTCGGTGCCTGATCCTTGTGGATGCTGTCCAGCTGGTTTATGCGCTCGTCTCCTTAGCGAGCCATGTTGGAACGCGAGCATCTCTCTTCTATCCCCAAAGAGCCGTAACGACGGATACTGCGCAAGAAATTATCTATGCGAGTTACGTTCCGATCTACAAGAAGAGGTATAAAACACAGTTTGTTTTTACGAGAGCTAAACGAGATCTTTAAGCACGTGATTAATTTTACTTCAATACCTAACGTTGTAACGCAAAAATTAATAAGCCTAAAAAGTCCTTTGTTCGATGTCACAAAAAGTATGCACGTCGCTATCATTTATGATTACGATTTTTAATTTAGTTATGAACGCGTGTGTGCGTATTTCTAAAGAAAAAAGTGTCTGCGTGTTTCTAAAGAAGAATATTATTTATTGTCATATATTTGCTCTTACAAATTGTACTATAATATCTTTAAAGAAATCTGTATTTATATAGCAAAATATTTAATTTTTTTAAAGAAGTATTAAGTAAATTATAACTTTCAAAAAACATTCATTGAATTTGTGCGAAAAAAAATTACAAGTTACATCATATGCGACACTCATCATCTCCGTAAGTGATGAATTCAGTTTCCCAATTAGATTTAAGAGACACTAGTTCTAGATACCGGCTTCAATGAAGCGCGGTAATGAGATGTCCCGTTTTCCCGAGTTACTTTGATACGAGATAGGCGTCATTGCGCAAATCATATCTAAGACGGAGATATATATCATCCACCTACTGAGTCGGACGGTCGGATCTAACGCAGCTTCAAGATTGCATCGGCAACTTACGGTCGCTGACCCGCTCCGCTGGCCTTTTCGCATCTAATTTCGTCTTGTCGTGCACCGTGGACCGTGATCGCATTGTGAGAATATATGCGCACACACGTCATGCAATCAAACAATCAGGCAGACCGATTATGATAGACGCGAGCTGTATAAGAATACTTTTCGCTCTGTGATCTTAAGGGGTATAGGAACTATATTTAAATAGCCGGAGCGCTTCTCATTCGGAAGGCTCATTCCGGATGGCTGCACGAATAGTAATCATTTATGTTAACTTTACAATTAAACTGTTTGTATGGTCCAAATGATTTTCTTAGCTAAACAAATCATTTATGAAGATAATCCGTATGAAGTGTTATGTTTGTGCAAGTTCTGTAGAAATTCTCAGACTATAGCCGAGATGTGCTGGCGCACAAAGTATCACATTACCAACTTCAAACGATTTAACTTTTCTGCAGTAAAATGAGAAAATTGTTTTGTCTCCAAATATCAAATGACAGTTTTGTCTGTAAAGTGGAAGAAGTAATAATGACGACGATATCGACGAGTTTTATAGTTTAGAGAAAAAAAAAAATATAATTATTAGAAGAATTATTAGAAGAAACTTGAATTTGCATTTTTATGCAGGATGCTCCGGAGGCAGTCTGTGTTTGTATGGAACAGAGTCCGGCATGCGGTAGTAATAACGAAACTTACGCAACACCATGCGCGTTGCACGAAGAGGCGATGAAACTCAGGAACTCATCTTCCTTGAGATTGCAACATCTTGGTCCTTGTGAAAGTAGACCTTGGATTCTGTCAACTTTGGAAGATGTTGCCTCATCTTTTGGTCAACGCGTCGCACTCAATTGCGAGGCAAAGGGTTTCCCTGTGCCGGATATCTTTTGGGAGTTTCATTCGGCTGATGGAAGAAGAGTACTGAAATTGCCGGGTACGTAAAGTGATATAACATCAACAAATTGAAATAAAATATTTTTAAAAATTTTGTTACAAACGCTATACGGGTTGAAATACGATATAAAATAAAATTATTTCGGATACACTGCGGATAGCGATGTCGGAAAAATAAGATTTATCTGGCAGTGGCATTTAGCAGCTTGAGTTCATCTTAATACGCGATATGATATTGCAAGTTTTACAAACATGCTGTAATAAGGAGTTTACTGAATTACAGTTTTATTTACAGGAGAGGAGCACGAGGCGACGGTACATACGAGCGAGGGTCCGGAGCCTCTTATGCGAACATCTTGGATGCAATTGACTCGGCTGAATAAAGAACACATTGGAATATATCATTGCATTGCTAACAATTCCATAGGCGAAGCAAGCACAGCTTCATTCGTGTCCATGTCGTGAGATTATATTTTTATTTTGTGAGACAATTTTTCGTATAACTGTTGTATGCACGAATACAATATGAAAAGAAAAACAAGCAAGCTAATATGTTTGGGAGATTTATTTTTTTAACAAACTGATGTACGAAGAATTCTTCGCGCAGATGGAATAATTCTGTGTGATTTCATAAAAATATATGAACGGCAGTTGGCTCTTAGTCTGCTTTCGGCAAATTAAATACAAGTAAAACTTATTTGTACGATCTATACTTCAAGCTTTTTCAATACTTTCGTTATATTAAATTCTGACACTATATTAATTTCTTCTTGAATCTGTTTGCAATGTCTTCATCTTCGTTACCAATCGCTTTGTGGCGGCGGCGGTGGACTATAAAGTATAATTAATTATAAATACAATTTTATTAATACAATAATTAATTTTATACACGCTTTTAATTTTATAAATTATTCAAATATAAAATAAAAAAAATACATTTAACTTTACTTACTCTGGCATCTGCCATGTTCTGTCATCATCCGTGTTGAGACTTCCCCTAAAAAAATATTTTTTTTCGTTATATAATTTAAATTTTAAATCCTTTATATTAAATAAGTAACTAAGAATAAAAGTACTAACGTTCTTGTTGGCAGCAGAGTATCTTCTACGAAATGAGATTTCTTATACACCAATGATAAAATATGAGCTGTTGGCGTGCTGACTATCATCACAATTATGCTTACAAGCGTAGCAAACCAAAAACCGTTCTAAAAATATAGATTATGTAAGAAACTTTATTAAAACGCGAAATTAATTACTTCATTTATAAATATATTGTATTATTTGTTATTATACATTTATTTTTTATTATACATTCTAACAAATACATTCAATTTAATTACACACTTTAAATTATACGTACAAAAGGACTCAGAATGTGAGCACATAGTAGGTATCTCAATCCTTCTAAAACATCCCATAAGGGCCGACACTTGGAGATTCCCGTGCCCATTTCAGATAGTACGTGAGTTCGCCATTGATCTAGGTAATTTGATAGTCGGTCCACGTACAGTTTTGTTTTCTGTAAACGTGATTATTGAACAATGAATATCGATAGCTTGTGGCATTTTCTATCTTACGAATATCTACAGATAACTTTTATTATATTTCAATAATTTATATAAATTTTTTAATATTATTTTTAATACTATTATTCACCAATTGAGCAATCTTCTCTCCCTGATGATCTATGTAATATTGTATTGTCCTCAGATGAGAAATTGACTGATTAACTTGTCGCCAAAGAGGTTGCACTTGCAATTCTAGAACTGCAAGGCGGTAGACCAAATCGTCCTGTAACTTCATTAGCGGCTTCACCCGTCGCAATGTCAGATCTCGCATTGTTGTCCCAATGCTTTGCAGTTTCCTGGCAATACTTCGGTCCTGCAGCTGACGGGACACATTGTCCAGTTGATCGGACAACGTATTTATATCTTTACTTAAGATTGGTCCTTGAATCTATGAAAAAATAAGTAATTGAAATTCACATCAAAGAAGAAGAAATTGTTTTTTATATTTATATTCTTATATAATATGTAATTAATTAACATATATTTCATATTTTTGATAACTTTTGTTAATTAAAATGTTAAAAATGAGAAAGAATGTTAATTGCGTGAATAATTTGTGTATACAGAAGATATTATAAGATATTAAAATAAATATGTACGTGTATACGTTAGGTACTTTTGATAAATTGGCATAGTTATGCGCAGTTAAATAGACTTTAATTAGTAGTGATATTAAACCATAATCACGGAAACAACTTGCTGTGAAATCCGTGTCATTTATCATAAGTAGCTGTCTAGTATTATGTAGTGCAGCTGTGCAATTTGTTACTTCACTTTAATGCCGGTGAATTTTTCCTTTAGGAAAATTCTTCAAAGCCGAGTAAGCTCGAACTTTAATCAAGTTGTTAAAGTCTAGTAAAACGTCTGTTTTCATTTTAAAAAACATAAAGAGTGATAACTTCGTTTTCACTTGAAAAAACATAAAAATAAAAAGAAGTATATAAAATATAACAAATACTTATAAAGTAAATATAAAAAATACCATAATTCTATGCGCAGTAAGATTCAAACCGCAGGCGTATAAAAGATCCTGAAGACGCTGTCGCAAATTCGGCGTTAATATTTGAAGACCTTTCAAATCGATTTTGATATTTGAGATTGCTCTGGACAGACCCGGCCATGTCCAATGCGCAGTCAAATGTTCCAGTTTCATCGCATTTTCCAGCCCAAAGGCAGGATAAGCTGCCTCGTTGTTTCGACATTTTCTGCAAATAAATAAATATTGCTGCTGAAAGCCGTAACACGCGCTGTAACCAATTTGCTATGTCTATATTACAGCCTGAGGGGTATCTAGTAGAAAATATAGATAAAAGGAACATTTGTATTTCAGACTGCAGTTTACAGTCAAATCGCATAAATAAATATAAAAACAAATTTATTCAACGCTGCAATGTTTTCATTAAAACTCACAAAATATTATATAACAATAAAAATAAAAATTTTATTTTATTGAAAATACAATTGCGACATTGATTGAAAATATACTTTTAATTAATAACTCTCGTAACATATCCAGTTTGTGCAATTTTCAGTGGAATTCACTTTTATTTTATGTTAATTTACGTTTTTTTAAATACAATATTTATAAAGTTTTATTAATTTGATTAGGGCAACGGCTTACTCAAAGAGTTCTTTAAGAGGAACTGTGAGTTTTCTTCCCAAAAACATTCGAGTTTCTAACACAACTTCCATAATACGATAGTTAGGATCGTACAGCGGTCGACACATCAACATTTCTGTATGGCTGGCGATGCCCAAAGAGACGATGAATACTGCCCATAGTGTAATCGAGATGAAACAGCTCGTGGCCACACCACTGAAATCCGATCAACACACTCAACTTGGCGATCTGTCTTATTGAGATCTATAAGATTACCTCCGATCAAGCCTCAGCTGTCAGAACTTACTAAATAACAATTATAATTCTTCTTTTTCGACGTTTAGTAGCAAAGTTTTATAAATTTTATCTAATAATAATTAATAGAATTGTATTATATATGCGTAAATAAATAAATATCTTATGTAAAACCGTTATTTAATAAATATATGTAACACATAAGTTTATTTTATTTATTATTGCATTATATATTATAAAATTTTATATAACATTATTACATAAATATTATGATATTAATAAATAATATTAATATCATTATTTATCAAAGTAATAAAATTACTTTCAGTTTTAAAGCAAATATTTAAAATAATAAAAAAGATAATAAAGTATAAAATGCAAAAATAATCTGTGTTACCTGTCCATAAAAGAAACTGCAATTTCATTCACTGTAAAGCGAATGAAATGACTCTTTTGAGTCATATTGCAATCTGTGATAAATTAAGCTTAATACTTAATAATAATTGCTGTTGTTAAATAGATAAATTAATATAAAAAGAATGAGAGAAATTTATGACACTGATTTTATAATATATATGCGCATTTAAAAAGTAACTAATTCAAATAAATAAAATAAAATAAATGGATTTTAAATATATTTTTCTTCTTAAATAGTATTTTCAAAAAATAATTTATTAATATATTGTATTTTATAAGTTTTGATTTAATAATTATATAACAGTCAATAATATAATTACTTATTATGCAATATGCATATGGATGGTTATATATAAACTAATATATATATATATATATATAAGTATGCATGAATAAGGTGTATATATACATGAAATTTACAATATACCTCACGTGCGCTATGTTGATGTTACTCAATAATTTTAAGGCCTACATAGGCATTGTTCCTTTCACGACAGAATGAATGAAATAATTAATTACAGTTATTACGTAATTATACAAGACAATTAGTAATATATAAAATTTTATTTAACTTTATTTAAAAAAATAATATTTGATAATGATAAAGAAGGTTAAAAATATACCATTAAAAATATAACAAAAATTATGTTCGATTTCTACTGTGTATATATGTTATATAACTTACCACAAAAGCGTTGGACGCACTTTATTTTCAGATGATCCACAGTGACAGCACAAAGCCCCAATCAGTAATGAAAGAACTGGTAAAATGCATAGAGCACTAGCTGCGCATAATTATAAGTAAACAGAACGTGCGTTATATTCCATCAACTTACTCTGGATACTTTTAAGATGCATACTATATATTAATCTTTTACTTAATATATATTAATCTTTTAAATGTAGTCTATTACATTAGTCTAGTTAATCTATTATCTTTAAATTATTATTATTATTTTTTATGCAAATGCATTTTACTGCAATTAATTCAAAGAAGTAGTCCTATCAATTTTTCTTAAGATTATATTTTATAAAACACATGACGTGTACATTTTATGTGCGTCATTATAACAGAATTATTCAAAAGTTTTTCAAGATATTTTTTTTACTATTATTTTGATTTATATAGAAAAATTTATGTAATATTCTTCATGTTATCGAGTTATCTTTTTAAATCTATCACTCACTTGGAGATGCGATCACACGATTTCTGCGATTGTTTTTCAAATGATAGCGCGATGAATAACGGAAATCTTGAAAAATTTTACGTACCCGTTCCAATGATCCATCTGATATGCTCGAAAGCGATGATATGAAGTATAATGTGATTCGTGACGTTTCTTGCAGATTCCAGTTGCTTTGAAAGTTCGAAACTGTTTGTCTCCATCGTGCGTGTTTGATCGACAATCCTGGCACGTGCTGCATTGATCTCGCGCCGAATCTCTAGACAAATATAGAATTTTATTTATTGTATCATAATTTTTCATTATTCGATGTTACAAATATCTTCATAAAAAAGGGATATTTGCAGAAATTTTTTATAGGAATACATGAGAGAGATACATTCTTGCGCTGAATTATGATTTATTAATTTTTAATGTAAAATAATTGAAAATAAATATTAGATTAAATCCATTAATAATATTTCCGATGAAAATTAAACAAATTTTGTATAATACTTGTGTAATAAAGTTTAAATTTAACATAGAGAGTTACCGCGCATAATGACAAGATTCTCAAGATAATTCGATAACTTTTAATATTATATTTCACTGTCCCAGGAACGAAATTTCTCAGTAATAATTTTCATTAGCTGACATTATTAAGCCATCAAATGAGAAAGATAAATAGAACAACTCGATTATAATATTTTATTTATTTTTTTTTTTTAAAGAAATACACATTTATATATTATTCGTTAATTCCGCATAGAATATATTCTACATAAAAGTTATTCGATCGTTTATCTTCCCTTAACACATGGAATACATTAACAGCAAAATGGCAAAATTTCGAATGGCAAATTTTCTTTGTAATAATCCCGAGTTTTCTTCGTGAACATGTAGAAATTTCTTCATCAACAATCTCCGATCGACAAACCTTCGTTGAGCTTATTCGACTTTATCGTCGGGCAATGGGCGAACCTTTACAAATTTTTTACGACTTTTCTTTTCACGTAGTAATATTAATGCGATATGGCTTTCGCATTAGATGCCGACCGATCACTTCTCTATCGGATCTGTCTGTCGATGGATGGCGGCGAGCGACAAGCATTATTGGTCGATGGCGAGTTAAGAGAAGTCGACAGGAGTACAAGTCCACGTTGCTCCCGGTTCATCGACATTCCAATTGCTGTAGCATCCATCATCCTTCATTCCTTTAGGAATTTTCTAAATTTTCTTTATTAATAATTTCCTTGGAATCTCGATATATTAATCGAAGAACAATGTTCATTATTCAACATAAATTTTTTTGTATTATCAGTATTATTATTTTACACCATATAATGAATCTGCTGGCAAACATATATATCCTGCTTATATTTTACATATACACATATAATTAGTAAAGCGTATTTTATTTGTTGTAGAAATTTAATACATACAGAAATAATAAATAATACTGACAATTTATAATACTATTATTAAAACCAGACTGCTGCACGTTTACGAAATTATGAAAGTTTCATTGAAAGAAAGAAGAATTTAGAGTTTAAAAGTAAATATAATTTTTAAAAATGTATAAAAATTAAATTCATTAAACTGTTTTAATTTAATATTAATTATAATTTTCTTCTACGTTTCAGTTTTCTCCAGTTTTTTTTTTCTAGATTATTGAAAAAAGAATTGATAGGTATCGCACGTGCATATATGAATACACATTTATGATATACATATACAATTTTTATTCATAAATTCTGTTTTAAATTTATATCGCAAAGCACACACATGTCGTCACTAACAAAACCGTGAGTAGAATAGGTTCGTGATATTGCCCGACACGACGGACTGTCAACACGTGACTTTCTCAGCATCAATCACCGCGATCCCATCGTGAAAGTTTATATGGATGTCTCGGAAAAGATATATAACACGATCGCGGGGTCCACGAAGATGTTTACTCGAAGCATTTACCGCATTTCGTTTGTCTATTAAGGATAAAGTCTCCCGACTCTCCCTTTTCCGCCGTTGATCTCATGCTCATCGTATTCTGAGGCAGAAATGCTGACGCGATCCCCCTCGGCTTGTGACGAAATATCGTTTATACAGTACGATGTGGAAAAAGGGCAGGAAGGATGTGCAAAAACGCTATTGAGAAACGCGACGTTTCACGCTAAACGACTTGATCTAAAGAGGAGGAAGAATGTCGGGAAGAAGGGATCTCGGTAATTGATTCATGTATGCGTGAATTCTAGCTTCTATTTATCAGGCTAATATTTTTTTACTACTGTCATTTCAAATGTATATTATATATGTTAAATATATAAAATAAGATATAAGATAGTCTATATATAAAATTAAATATTCGAAGTCTTTAAATATTGTGTCATATTGAGTGTAGAAAAATAGAAAAATAGAAATATCTGCTACATATTATCTTAAATAGAACATCCCCGGATAGTGACCTAAATTTTATGTTGTACTTTTATTATGGTTATTATGATTGCAAATCGTTCTTGGAATAATCTTCCTTTGAAAATAATCCACTGTACAATCGACTGCATTCGAGATATTTCACGTTGCAAATATGCAATATTTTATGCAATACAACGCGGAATTAAAACATGCATCACATATTTCTTGGAAGCTGTCAACGTTTTGGAAGACTTGAGTTTCGAATTTGAAGATATTCTTTATAAAGCTTGACGAAAACGGAATAATGATTTTACACGTAGTGAATATAATTAAGAAGAATATTCAATATTCTAGTTCTCTTACGTGCAAGCAAATAATATAAATTTAATATAAAAAATAACAAAAAATAATAGTATAAATTTTGTCAATATAAGAAGAATTAAATCATGTCATTGTTGTCATACTTGTATTTTTTTCGCATCTTTCAGAGAATCTTAATTATCAGAACATCAAAATGCACTTTCATAAAACTAACAAGTTTGTGTTTTCTCAACTTCGTCGCGATAAAACGTGATCTGGATTTAGTCTGGTTTGTTTACTTTCCTTCGAACTTATAATATGCCTTAAATATATCATGGTTCCTGCACGATATATAGAATAGGATGCATAGTGTAGATAAAAGAGAGTATCGAGGAAGAATACTCGAGACGGAGATAACGTGAGCGTTATGAATCTACAAAAAGAGTATTCCCTCTAGAACTTTGCTTTTTCATTGCATCTGTGCTTCTTCGATATTGACTTTATGTCAAAATTTTGTTTGTGAAATATTATGTGAAGCGTTTCAAAAAAAGATTTCGTAAGTTTGATATTGTTTGTTTTGAAGCACGTAGCAGTTCGAACATTTATAACCGGATTCTTCAGTATGAGAAATCTATTTTTAGCACTCTTTGTTCTATCAAAGTCGGCTTTCTTCGCTTTGTAGAAGTTTTTAAATTATACCAAACATTCTGATATTCGTGTTTAAAGTACCGAGAGCCCGCTGCAAAAAGGTTGAGTCGAGTATGTGCATTTCTGTACGTTCGTGCATTTACTATGGAAATAATTCTTTCGCTACAAAATCCATCAGACTCTATTTTCTTTTGTAGGAATTCATTCTTTAAGACAATCGAAATATGCGGGTTGTATTCTTTAGAATATAGAGAGACCAATGAGAGTTAGATTTATCGACATTTGCTACAGTTTAATCGCGGCGAAGGTGCACAATTCTCCGTTTCTTTTTTTCGCCTTTCCGTCTATTTGTGGCTATTGTTCCTTCCCGATTGCCGCCCCGAATTTGCAGGCGATGGAAATTATTCCATGAATAAGCTGACGCATTTGTTCATACAAGATTGTAGAATTAATCGAAAAGCTCACAGACTGTGGGTTTAATTATATACTTTTGTTTATATTAAAAATTTTAATTTTCATTATAATTAAAATTCAAATTTTTTATTATTTTTTTAACGAGATGTAAATTATTATAAATATAATAATGTGAAATGTTAAAATAAGAGACATTAGCAAATTAAGGCCATATGTTCAAGAATTGTTCGTGCAGCGAAATTTCTTCATCGTGAAGTAATATATTTAAGCAGATTAAGCAAATACGAAGAAAATATGAGAAATGTGAAATGTATGCATCTTGTATATTTTCGCGTTCGTAAATTAGCGAGTTATGCCGTGAAACAGCAATTGTTGGTGTTATTTGCCGGCGCTATGAGCCATTTATCCAGCTTAATTCGCGTCATCTCGCATAACACGCGGAGAAATCTGGCAGTGAAGGCACTAATTTAGCTTTCTTCGGGAGCGCGAGCTCCACGGCGAAGTTTCTACACTGAAGTGTCGTCGCGACCTCCACGTGTCGTCGCGAGTGCCATAACGTATCATAATACATGGCATCAATGCCATGAAACTTTTCTAACGCTATAGCATACCGTCCCCTTCCTCCCATCCCTCTTAACCATCCTGGTTCTTCTCAGCCAAGTTACACGCCCAACTAAATTCCACAGAGTCCACCTTCTCGAATTCTCCAACGCTCGGCTGCAACTGGCTCGTATCAAAAAAAGCTCTCGTATCGAGAATGCGAATCTCGTGACTTTTTTCCGATATAATAATCAACTCAGGGAATGGAACCGTGAATATTCTACTACCTACGGTTGCGAGCATCCAACGTGGTCCGAGCGATGTGATGCGGTACGTGAAGGTACTCTCCGCGAGCCTGGCGCCCTGCTTCCGTCAAATTTTCTCGACTAGTATTCCGTAGACGCAGTAGATGGTCGTCTCTCAATAGCTGCGATAGAAAATATAGAAATAATTTCAGAAGAAATGATTTGTAGGAAATCTAGTAGTTACTTCACATTAAAGACAAATAAAGATTTCTATTGATATCTCTGAATCAAAATGAATTGATTTTTGTATCTGCAATTTTATAATTTCCTTATTAAAATTTGATTTATTTATTCTGGAACTACCGGTGCAGACACTTAGAAAAAATAAAGTCGCTTATGTGAAGAGTAAAGAGCGCGTCGATATAATATCTCGAGTTTTGTCTGAAAGAGTGAGTTTAATGTTTTTTCCATAAAATAGCGATATTTTTTAAAACAATGCAAAAGCAGTGTGATTTTAAGAAATAAATGAAGTTGTATATTTTTCAGGGCATTCTTCATCAATAGGAATTTATCGAGGTAAATTTCTATCTTGGAAAAATTTCGAAACATTGAATGGATGATAAATCGAGATGGAGAAGCGGAAGTTGCACGAGAACCACACACTGCTATTACGTGTTATATGCATTCTTTCAACAACAATAAGAAAAATAGGTGCACTTGAATCTGAAGTGTTACATGTATTCGCATGTACGTGCGAGGGGCGTATAACTAACTTCGTGACTAACGAAAGAAAAAGAAAGATCCTCTTAAGGTCTTCACTGCAACTATAAACGGATCGCCTCTCCGTTGATTTAAACAAGAATTATCTTTATTTTATATTTAAAATTTTCTCAAACGTGTAGTAAAAGAAAATTGACGAATACATTTAAATGATGAAAAATGATGAAATAAGATACACGAAAAAATGAGACGTGTTAAAAGACAGAGGCGAACAAAAATTTTTAATTCAGTCACGTGTAAACGTTAAACGCGCGTAATTTTAATTAAAATTCCGAAAGATAATGGAAGATAAATATTGCTACAGCGCTTGGATTATACAAATGTTAAGCGTTATAATTTTAATGGTTTACTAAATGCATTTTATCCGCCTGTGTCTACTTATTTTCGTCGCTTTGTATAAATAAATAAAATATCCCCGTCGAGAACCATAATGAAAACGTTGCTGCGAATCAAACCGTTTATCCCGTCGAGTGAACTCCGGAATTCGCTATCCCGAACGAACATCAATCGTAAAGTTTATTCACCCGTTCTATCCGTAGATCCAGGCGAATCCCCGAAGAGTCAATGACAGCACAAAGAGAACGATCTGGACCTGAGCATGCTCTCACCGTACCTTCCAAGTCTCGCCGTATCTCGTCCGTTTCCCTACTCAGTTCCAATCCGAGTTCATGAGCTCTCTCACCCTCCCTAAGCAAAGATTCGGCTCTTGCAGATAACTCTTGCGTCGCTGAAACGTGCAATACGATACCATTAACGGCGTGTGTATTCACTGTTCTCACCTCGCCTAACATCTTCAGTAATTGACAGAAATCATCCTTACAGTATGAAAATTAAATTGTCTCTAGTCAATTTATTATAAAATTTTGAAGGAGAATCATTGGCACTTACCAAACGTGAAACACTTGTTTCTTAAATAAACTTTGGAATCGTGAAGAATACGTTGCGTTTGCATCACTAATATAAAATCTCGCTAATTTAATAACCATCAGCATTTATCTTCGTCCGCGTCTGGTGATAACTCAGATCGATGGACTTAATAATCTTAGGACAAGCTTTCAACATACCGGGTGCTCGAGTAAGCTATCAAACTATTAATCGACAACCGAAAGTAATAACGCGCGGTATAACGAAGCAATTTATAAGAGGCCGTCATTCGCCATTTACGTATTAGACTTCGTCTGCACTGATGAGAAATATATGATAGCGCCCGTATCACGTTGTCGAGCATTTGCCATTGTAACAGGTTTTCGTTACTTGAATTAATTCGCTACAAACGCACACCGTCAAGGAAAGCGACCCTTAAGTCGTAGCCTGCGGCTATGTCTGTAGACAAATATACGGCGTGCTACGAAATTAATCGTCGCATTATCTTGTGCATAAAAAGAAGAATTTTAAGATAAGAATCTGGTATGATTATACACACACACACACACACACACACACACACACACACACACATGTGTGTATTATAACATAAATGTCAGATTTAATTAACAATTTAAAAATGAGTATAACATTTAATAATTATTATTCGACAAACTGCAAGTCTTTAGAACTTCACTTGCGTACACATAGTCAAAATTTTCTCTAATTAAAACTTCTGGACGCGAGTGGTGTGTGAAACTTTACCTTTCTTATTTATGTTGGCTCAATAACAGCTTCTCGTTATTTACTCCGACAAGTAAACTCCGACTTTACAAATTCATATATCCGTTTTTCGTGTACTAAATTGTGTATTAAAGTCATATATTACAAACTGTATCTGAAGCTATTTTAAATTTTCCAATAGTCTAACAAGCAGTTAAACGAAAATCTGTTGATTGGAACAAGTTTCGCAACAGAAAACAATTTTTATTTCAAGATTTAACACAATTTCACAATTTATTTCAAGAAATAACTTTCTATCTCTCCTATAGCTTCCATTAATAGTTCTTGTAAGTAAACGGCGTATTAAGAGTTTATTTCAGAACACCCGGTACAGAATACTAAGTATAGCGTGTAAGTATGATACACGTGTAGTGATTAGACGGAGTTGCTCGATAGGAGATAGCAAGAGCGAGAGACCCGTAGTTGCGGTGGTACCTGCTAATTTAGTTAGTACACTGTTAGTAACTTAGTACCGTGACTAAGTGACACTCCAGGTCGAGAAGGTCACTTAACGATGGTGAATTCATTTGAAGAGCGAGAATAACGTTACCAGAAACAACCTAAACCAGCCTAAACCAGCCGTGACATCGAGTAAATTGGCGGTTCCAAAAGTAGCATGTTACATCTGTTCGTTGCACAGACGTCTTTAATTACTCACGCTCGAGCAACCAGACAGTATCAAGTAACCAATATTGAATTAGTACAAACTTAGTAAACATTTCATAAACATAGCGTAAGGAATGAATTTGAAGTAATTAATATGTTTTCTTCACCTTTTTTAAAAAAAATCATCCATTTTAATCATGTGTTAATGAAATTTTAATGAACAAAACTTTGATATATGTGGCTCATTCTATCAAAGTGTCAGATCTTGATTGGGTGATGACGCGATGAATGAATGATCGTGTGATGCAACTGCAGAATGCGATGAAACCACAGAAATCGTCAGATTTATTGTGACCGCGCGTAGTTCGTGAGCTAACGAGTGAACGACATGGTCGTTCCTCCACACGGAACGTATAACTCGACGCATAAATTATTATACGTAGGATGCGAGTACTATGTGTAGATATTGCGGTTATGAATATGCAAACATTTCGGCGCATAGCCATCTTCCCATTTCGACTAATATTGGTGCGGGATATTCAGCGATATCCCCGCCGGATACGATAGTTGAAATTATAAAGGATGCTAATTTCTCATATTATAGGATAATAAATTAAGAGAACACCTATCGCGAATATATCAATATGTTGTCTTAGCAGCCGCAAAACGCTGCTAGAAATTCTAGTCTCGTGATTTCTTGCAACTGTAATGGACATTCGCAGAATAGATTGTACCGTACGATGCGGTTCAAAAACTTTTAGAAATAACGATTAATAAAAGTTACACTTACAGATTACAGACAACTGCAATTGCGTTATACGATTGGCGTTATACGATTTCGACGATCAAACTTTACTTTCCATTCTCTTATTAAAACCATTTTTTATTATAGCTTTTACCATTTCCCAGGTCAACGAGCGCATCCAATGCCACGTCAAGTCCAGTCTCAGCCGAGAGTTCGGCCTGCACAGGTTTACCCAATAATTCCTCGACATCTGAAAAACACGAGCGAATTGTTAACGCATGCGTCTGCCTTTAAACAACAGATATTCCATTAACATACAAATTTTGTACATGCATATACAAAGGATAGTTGATGTCGGAAGCATGGATCGCTTAACGTTCTATAGAACACTTTTGACGATATATTGCCGGGCCATCAAAAAAACTTCCCGCCAATCACACTTTCGAAGGCTCAGGGCGAAAACGTGAAATTATTAGAATATCGAACGTATGACGGGATAAACGTTAAAAATGGAACGTAATCACCTCGGGCTAACGAACACGCGACGACCATGTAGTATATAAAGCGCAAGCGACATTGTAAATCCCGTCACGTCGGTGCGTGGCAGTAATAATTTATCCGTCCTGTATCCGCGTCAGTTATCGCAATCTGATAGGAATTTTGGAACCGGCGCGGGTGGTTTGTGATAATACAGGCCTTTGACGGTAACGCGAAATTTCTGATAACAATTAAAAATGCATTTCCATTCTTCATATAAGAGGCTCACGTGGGAGTTTCTGACAAAAGCAGATGGCGAAAAATCGATGTCCGGCATAAACGCTGCCGGTGATATTGGCCAAAAGCTTTGAAATCTCGAGTTTAATTTGCACCATCGATCGCGCGTACGCGGGCGTACGTGTATTATGTGTGTGCGCGCGTGATTCGGCGGGGAGTAGTCTTATGATATACGTTTTTCATATATAGACCCTGAAAGAAACGAACGTAGTCACGTTGTCGATAAACCGTATCGTTGTCGTTCCACTTGGCGCGCGGTACGTGATCTGAAATCAAGACGCGGCGCGGCGACGTGTATATACGCGTGGGGCTTTGTACCGGGCAACGCGCATAATGCAACCCGTGGTTGCATTACACTAACGAGCTCAATTTGCTGAGGGTTGTTAACGTGCCAAAGGCGATAGACCTATTACGCGACGATTATAGACTGCCGCCGATACAGCTTTCATTAGACGCGTCTGTAGACGCGCCTATATGCGTCTTCAGCCGCGAGAAACGTCATTCATTAGATGGCGCCGGACATCGGCACTTCGCCTTGATAATTCATGCGTTCAGCCTATATTCAGGTCAAATTTACTGGACCGTGTCGCGTCACAGGGAAAGAAGTTCATAAATATTCCAAATTGCTTTTAATTTAATGGAAGCAAGCCGCAAATATAACACGCGCAATGAGTTAATGATCAAAATGTGCCTTATACACGTATTTCGTTTCACGAGCAAAATGTTATTTGATATTGATGGCCCACCGTTTGAGAATAAAAGATAGATCATCGTCACGTTTATGAGTTACAAAAATAAATGTATGAAAGATTTATAGTCCTTCTGTCAGAAATGGAAATTAAAATATTTCGTTTCTTTTCTTTCAAAGATAAAGTAAAACGGAAACAGCGTATTAAAAGATACCTACATTTTATTCAGCGATTTAACACAGCGTTCTATCTTTTTGATGATAGAAATATTCTAATTATTAATATTAAATACTTCCTTATCGTGTATACATTTTCCTCGTCCGTTTCTCATCATTCTGAACGCAATCAACTGAATCGTTATACCATTAACAGATGAATTTATCATGTAGATGAATTCATCATGCGCGCGAGCGAAATGAATACAGAGCATAAAATATTGCAAACAACCACACATCCTGTGAGAGGATGGTTAAAAATATTCCAGCCTGCCAACAAATGCGTCAAATATGGGCACATCGTAAATATAAATGTGTATATAATTCAAGCGTTACGCATTATTTAACTGAAAATATTTCTGGGTGCATATGGCAAGAAATTTCCCTATGCCTGTGAATGCCCTGATGTCATACATAAAACGAATAAAAATAATCAGAGCAAACAAGAACTTTTGAAAATTTTAATACAATTTTATATTCAAATCCTTTTGTCGGGGCTCATGAGCCACAAATATGAAAAGTTCAATGAGCTGATATTATTCCTCATTATTTGCATATCTTTTCATATTGCTACGTTCAAAAAATATTATATTATTTTTTTTATGTTTTTGTCTGCTATTGAATAATTTTTAACTTTAATAATAATGTAAGAATTTAATATAAAAAAATCTTTTATTATATAGAATTATTAAAATATTTATAATAAATTTTAAATATTAGATTTATATGTATGTCGCTTTCGCATCAGCTCAAATTCCCTAATCGCAATTCACTTATCGCATTGATATATATTAATCGGTTCGATTTTAATCACATTTGCGGTCAGGTTTATGCATGCGATAGAATCAATTAAATGCGACAACGCGCAGATGATTTTAACGTTAAATGCAAGCCTACAGATTTAGTAGTGAAATTAGCCAGTTTGCGGTTTCGTTCAAGAATCAAGGGTGGAGAGGTCGCTTACAACTCAGCGCTATGTTACATCAAAGTAGTAGAGTTCCAGCAATCGAACCGCAAGCGGTTCTCCGCTTTCCGCACTCGACTTACTCCGGAAATTAGTTAATCGGGCCGCGAGTTGTGTTTTCTATTACCATTAGCGGTAATAAGAAATTCCTTTCTTTCTCAATAGGAAGAAGGGATTCTCCCTGAAGTGAAAGCAAAGTAATGAAACAAGCGCGGAAAATGTGCAGATTTTAAACGCATAGATACTTTACAAAGATATTTAATTTCTTTTATCCTGCCTCTCGAGCATCTTGTATATTACAGCGCGTTTGATAAAGATCTCGCATTATGGTCTTTATAATTTTAACAATTCTTTTTCTCTTCTTGCTCGTTGGATATTTCTTACACGTCGGAACCATAACGAGCAAAGGTGGAAACTCCAAAAGAACCAGCGTACTTAAGACAAAGCACACAATTATAGTAACTGGGTTAAGTGTTAATAACGCAACAACAGGAAAGAACATCCGGTAGCGTCATCTCAAGCGTCATAACTATAGTTAGCCGTTACGGTTAAAAGTTTTTTTACGTTGTCTTTACTGAATGCAATAAAATAAAGGATAATGATGTAGTACTTTATACACGGTGGAACTTTCCGCGCGTTCATGTTGCGTCTTAATGTTGCTGGAAAAAAAATTTCACTTACTGTCCAGATCCGCGAGGATCGCCTCGCTGGCCACGTCCAAACTTCTCGTGAGGCACTTTCGTAATTGTGATGTAGTGTCCGCGTGGTAGTCCTTTAAATCCTGCAACGCCGTCTCTACTGTCATAGGAAGCTTCTCGATCCCGACTGCCGCCGCTTCGTTGCATATTATCATTGTCACCATGCAAGACCTGAAAGCCACGCATCAAGGATTATGAATAACGTAGTGAGTGCTTGCTTTAGGTAAAAGGTTTTCCGACGTCGTTGTAAGACGAATTGCTGTCTACTTAAATCTTCTCCATCCTCCATCTAACTTCATTTATTCTCACCTCATCCTTGGTCTAATATTAATATAGTATTATAGCTATTCAAACGCAAATGTGTGTCAAAAGATGATTAATACTCTTATATTTGCATATATATATTCGTTAGTTATTTCATAAATGTTTTCTTCTATCAATTTTTTTCTATTATACGTTATTGAAGCATTACTGAATGTTACGAAAACTATTAAAAATAAAACAAAATAATATAGTTAGTGATAAAATAATAAAGGGTATAAAGTAGTAAAGAATATTAATTTTATAATCTGTCTGTAATTATGAGAATTTCATCATCGCCAAATTCGTGACGATTACGTAGTCACAAAGTACAATCAAGAAAGACAGAAGTATCGAGGAACATGAGTAGGGTTGGAAGTGAGGGTAATAAGTTTTCGGAGCGTTGTCTAAGAACGGAGAATCGTCATAGATCCTACCCGAGTATAAAGACGAAAACGGTGAGGAGAAATGCGAGAACACCGGGATGCCGAGAGGGTTTGTAATTCTCTTTGATTGGACGACAGGCGAGCCAAAGTTCCATGCCAGGTATTATGCAGGCCAGTACGCAGCACATGCCTACTAAGCTCAGAAAAGCTGCTTCCACGTGCACAGACTATAAAAGTAAGAACAAGAGAAATGTCTTCGAGAAATTTAACAATATTCGCGCGACATTAGAGAAATCGCGAAAATTATGTATCGTTTTCATAGTAAGAAATTGTCATCTCGGAACGAAACGCTCGAGAATGTCAAGGATTTCATTGCGAGGATCTAATGAAGATTTACACTTCCTTCAACATGATCCACATTGTCATCTGTAGGTAGTCAAATATTTTAACATGTCTTACCTCTGATATTAATTTGGCGATGCTTATGCGATTTTCCACGGTATCTATTAGTAGATCTGTAACGAACGATAAAAATTAATGTTCTCCATGCATCGCTAATTGAAAAGAAACATTAATCGTTCGATAACACCAAGAAATATATTAAACTTAAATTATTCGTTGAACCGAAAGATATTAAATAATCTAATAAAATCAGTGAAAATAAATTCGCACTTTAACAATATTGAATACTATATTTACAAAATTAATAAAAAATTTCCTTTCTCTACACAATTATATGATATATTGAATCAATAATTATCTCTTTTCACATAAATGTCGTGCTACAGATAAAAAATATTTCCTAATTATAATTCACGGTTATCTACAAAATTTAATCAGTTGCAAATAAAAGATATGACTATTACAAATAAAACATAAAAATGTTATGATTTTACACATACGAAATATCTTTTTTCTTAGTTGAACTTTTTTCTTAGTTGAAAGAGCTTGAATGAATTATTGATGATAGCTAAACACTTCTCGTAAAATGCTGACTCCCAAAACGACTCTGTCGAAACATACGTATTTTAAAAGCTTACAAGCTTACTAAAGGTGATTTCGCGGAAACCATTTACGATTGCCATTATGCCTTACCGGTCGGTATGTCGTAAGGTTGTACGAAGGACAGGAAGCCTTTGAGAAAATCGAAGACGAACCATCCCTTATCGAGATGCAAACTCGTCATCTTGTAACGTTCCTCCGTGGAGAATTTCGGGAACTTTAGCTTCGATTTTACGTCCCAGTCTTTAGGTAAGGTCAACGTCCTCGGATGCGACACATTCGAGTTGTTCTTCGTACCGTCCACGAGCACGTCCGCCGCCATCATGTCCATCTCGCCCTCCCGTGCCTCGTTTGGGGAACGAAGAATGAGGAAACTGTCGGTGGTCGAACAATTGTTACTGCTCGGGATCAAATCAGTTGAGACTGACTCTTGAAGCGTGTACGCTCTCGAGGTAGTGGCGAGTAAAAGGAACACTGCAAGTTTTGGAGAAGCGGATTTTACGCGATGTTGTCGCGCGCAAATCGGAACGAAATATAAAAACTTATTGAGCCTTAATAATTAATGAACTGTGAAAATTATTTTAATATATAGTATATATACCAGAATTACATAGAAGTGCTATTATCTCTCGAGGCGTTTCCACGAACTTGAACGATTTTGCGCGCCACCTCACTCTCTTTATTAATATTTTTTTCACGATATGCACTTGAAGCTAAATTGCACTGTTTCAAATTGCGTTTAAAGCGGCAATAAAATTGAAATTCTAACTAATACTCGTCGGATATCGAACATTGTTTAATTTTATGAATAGAAATAATGTAACTACGATATTTAGAAAAATTTGTGCATTTTAAAAGAATTTGATAATAAATGTCTTATTCTCATCTTATTATTAATAGTACAACCGTATTATTAAAACTGCCCGCATTTAAAGAAATTTATCTAAATAGTTGGACAAATTATAGTTGTAAAGGCTTTCTCATTTAAATTTCACTTCAATTTGTGGCAAATTGTATTTCCTCCTTCTGGCAACTGCCTTCTAATATTCGATAAATTCATCACCAGAAGTGATATTCAAAATTAGATAGAGGATGTTATAACTGAAAATTACAAGGAACAAACGAGAGAGCTTTGAAATCCACTACAAGCTCTGTCGAAACGAGACGCTGTCAAAATAGAACGCTTCTTCTGGTTACACTCTTTCATCTTTCTGAGAATGATAATTCTGAAGTGTTTCAGCAAAGAGCGTCGCGGCACGGTATCTTCGCGAAAATTAGATGTATATTTTGCACAACGAAAAAATTTGAAGGCAAGATATAAAAAAATGCTCGTGCCTTGGATCACAGCCATTTTCCGCTCAGACTTCGCAGCTTTCCGACGTTTTCCTCCATACGATAATCGACACTGACAACAGTCACGTCTTTATTGAATCGCAGTTGCGAGTAGACTGCCATTTTCAGTATTTGTAGAGGCTTCCGAGAAACCCTGCAAGTGTATTGTGATGTTGTCGAACTCTACAGGGACAATAAGTATCTACGATAATAAGTTAGACAGGGATTGACCAAGTAAGAAAAACGGTGTCACACAATATAGAACAAAAATATTGTAAAGAAATGTAATAATTAGATCACGAAAAATTAGAAATGTAGAATAAGCAAAAAACATGTTATAAATAACAATGAAACAATCTATTTAACTTTTGGATTAACAATTTTACAATATCATCAATAAACATGAGATTAACTTCAAAGAAATAAATTAATGTGTCAAATTAAGTCGGTAATTTGTGATATACTACCAAAATTTATTTAGAGCATTTATGCATTGAAAAATGTTTTGCAACATTTGAGTTTCCACTGAATTAGACGAATAATCGCTGACTCGGACACCAACATGCTCGCATACATGCAATAAATAAACTACAAATAGTGCTTCACATACAAATGAAATTTCGTGCTTAGCTTTTAACATATAAATATCGACTATATATGATCTTAATTTTTTCATTATAAGTTTGCGTAATTCTGTGTGATATATTATAGTGTATATTAAAGTTTATAGGAATGCGTTAATGTTCTGTTGATAGATTTATTTTTATGCGATATGTAGTTTATAGAGATATTAATGCACTGTTGGTCACAGATTTATTTCGTTCCCGATCGAAAACAGTCTTGCTTGAAAATAATCTGGCTCGGAAAATCGCAGTTCTGTCGAACGAAAAGTTACTGAAATATATCGATAAAGTTTTTACTCCGACAATTTGTTACAGAAGTTATTTAATAGGAAAAATTAATGAGATCACTATTTCAATTTACAAATGCAAAATAATAAGAAGTCATAAAATATATCTTAGATAGATATATATCAGAAAGTTTTTAAATTTTCTTATCAATCCTTATTAATGTTTTTAATTACACTTATCAATTAAAAAAGTACAAATTAAGAAATAAAACAAATAAATTCTTTGCGAACAAATAATTTCTTAAACTTTACTGCAGCTCATGGTCTTCACTCGCTTGTGAAGGCAAAGAGACGTAATAGCTTACGTTTAAGCCCGACTATGTCGTCAGTAATCCTTTCAGAAACGGAGATCAAGCGAATATAGTTCTGTTTTATTGTTCACCGATTTCTTGTTACAAAATTGTCGAGTTAAAGTTTGAAATGCAGTTCTGGATTATGGTAAATGGCGGTAACAAACTTGAATTGAAATTTCTTATCTTAAGCACCAACTCATCGCAATTCATTGAATCTGTCTTCCGACTAGTGACGGATATTATATCCATGGAATATTCTCGTGGAATAACTTGGAAAGTATTCCGAGAGTATGTCGAAGAATGTACTAACGGTTGGAATTTTAACCGACGCCTGTCCACTTTGTCCCTTATTAAATAGCGTTGTGAAGTTTATATGGGGCTCTATCGTATGTAATATACGCACTTATGCACGTACAGTGGAAGACTTTATGAAAATCCAACTAAATATAAGTTAACAATTGAAAAATAACTGCATTATTGCGTTTTCTATATTAAACGTTATTCTGCAAATCTAAAAACTTTAGACATATTCCGACTTCAATATTTACTCATTTATTATAAAAAGTTAATAAATTTACTGAATTCTGCATACTTGCAGATAGAATGAGTATATAGCTAAAGAAGTTAAGTTAATTCGAAAATCAGCATTCTGATATTATCTGATATACACGTGTAAAGCTTTATGTACTCACGAATCCTCGGCTTTGCGAATTTCGAGATACTTGTAATTTTTTTCATCTTAGTATAATGTTATATCTTAAATAACTAGCCTATATATAACCATAATGCATAATGTAATGTGAGAAATGAGATACTTTTGTAAAATATATACTAGATACGATATTCTCTATTCTACGAAGTAATATGGTTAATGTAACATTAATATTGCATTCAGAATGTCATGCGTACGGCGCGTACTTGTATTTAGTATTTTCTTTTTCGTGAAATCTGAATCACCGTGCAATTTGATCTCTTTTCCTCGCCCGATAACTCCCGCGTTTCTACATGGTTAGTCTTGTGTGGACGGATGGTGAATCGAAGATTCGAACTACCTACCTACAGTTACTTCCAGTACGTGGTACCAGAATTGGGTTGGCTTTTTGGTAGCAGCGGTGCCCAACCGCGGCTAAATCTTCACGCGGACAAAGTGCGAGATTACTTTCGCCGATGGCGAATGACTGGGTACTCGGCGTTAGACTCCTCTTCTATCAGTGAATGCGAGCTCCTTACGCGAAGGTGTATACTCGGTCTCTTAATTGGCTGTGCCGTAATTCCCGTTCCGCTTCTCAATGCAATTCTCCTCCAAAACACGGCTAATTGCATGATACGGCTGTGAGTAAATACTTACCCGTCTCCCGATACCATGTTGAATTCAATATATGTAGGGATACTTTGTCAAGTTAATTTAACAAACATAATTTAACATTACAAGATCCTTCCTGCATTTACTTACGTCCAATATAAATATTTCAAAAAAATAATTTTTCATATTTTATATAACTTAATATTCTTTTTCGAAATTTATTATTATAATATATAACGAGCATAATTCTAAATATTATTTAAGGCCATAAATATGTTTATGTTTTATATTCGTGCAAATCGCATGACATTGTTTTATAATGATAACGTTTAATTCTTCTCTTTTTCAGAAGATATATAACAATGTAAAACGCAGTACGCAAAGTGCGATATATTAAACGAAATTTAAAATTGCTCGTGTATTGTATGTAAAGTGGTCACAAATATATCACAGCGTTTGTTAAGGGAAGTAGATAGTAAGTAAAGTGACTATTAACGAGTATTATTGTATCTTATTGTGGTACGTAAGTGATCTGTGAATTTGGAATGAATCTGTGATTTGGAATTGATATCAGCTGTTACATGATTTGCAATATTTTCCTAAGTCGTTGCCTGCAATCACGTAACCTTTAATAAAATCGCGATGAGAAATGTTGGCAACTTTCCGAAAAACTCAAGGAAACGCGAAATGCAGATACCAAATGAAAATAGTACAAGTTAATTAATTAATTGTTATATTGTGCACAAAGAAGCTGCGCAGTCTAGATCTCTATCCAAATAATTATTATTGCAATCAAGAGCATGATTATAAACTCATGTCTGAGTGATGTCAAATACTCATACAAACCTTAAAGTTTATATCTCATTATTTTTCAGGAAAGGTGAATATAAATGAACGTGGAATATTACTTATCTTTATACATTTTTTTACATTTAAACACATTTTATATTTAATTTTTGTACTTAAATAAATGCAAACTTTCAATACACATATTCGAAACAATAAGCTGTTCGTTGCCTACGTGAAACATACTAAAAAAAATCGACCGTTCCTTTAATAAAACAGTCTACTCGCAGCATCCTTATTTAACGTATGCTTTTACGTATGCAGTTACTTTATATTAGCTAATTAAATATTCAGGTTTCATTTGCACTAACGTTAAATCAGAACGCGAAATAGAATCCCAAGTGTGCGAGATGTGTACTAAAATATGAAATACGCGGATTCGGATTTAAAATATTTCATTTCAGTTTTAAATACTCGTTGAGAAAAAGAAAAATTATATTACTTTCAATCACAGAGACGTATACGCGGCTTTATAAGTTACGTACCTCATCAAGACATATAAGGCGCGTCACGTAAAGTACGACCTTATTAGATGGGCTCATTAGATGGGCTTAACGAGCTCTGTGTCGGACGGTCGTACGAGACGTATACATTTTACACATTATACACATTTTACATTGTCTCTGTCTTGGGGCACGACTTCCGTTCTTGGGCAATAGCATTTTCTACGAGAGTATTTTCCGACAGGAATCTTCTCGATCTTGTAAGCCGAGCTTTGTTACTCTCACATTCTGTCATCTCCGCCGTCGTTGTCGCGAAAGTGTGTCGCGATCTTCGACGCGTGCGATTCTCGATCAACCAGGAACGGGGATAAGTCGGGGGTGTTCGCGAACGAGCGCGTGGGTGGATAGATTTTGGCACGGCGAGAGGGTGTCGGTGCAGTTAGGAGATCGAGAAACCGGGGTTGCATCCACACTCACTCCCTCTCTCCCTCTCTCTCGTTTCTATCTCTCTCATTCTCTCCCTTCTCCCACCCACCCTTCCCTGTCTCGTACTCTCTTTCTCTCTCACCCGAGCGCGACTACTGTCGGGAGCACCCAGGCGGGCAGTCAGTGCGTCGTCAGCCTCCGCGTCGTCGCGACGCTCCTCTCTCTCTCTCGTTTCTCTCGGCTCTCTCGGTGGCGTCCGCAGCATCGCGACGCTACGACGCGCTCCGTCGACTATCCTATCCTGGGAGAGACGCCGCCGTTAATTTTCCTACGACATGTACCGGCGACGCCATCGACTTGGCCATCGATAACGATCGAAATAAGCGATAGAAAAAAAAAAACAAGCATCTTTTTTTCACGCGTCACCACGTCGAAAGTGTTTCGTTCGATTTGCACAAAAAAAGAAAAGGGTGCTGATAATTAATTGCAAGAGATAGAAAAGTCTTGACTAATTTATTTCCCCCGCGGGAATTAATTTACATAGATTATTATGTATTTTATAGATTTTTAATTAAAATATGTTCAATACATTTTTTTACAGTTTGTGAAAAAAATTAATTTTCTTTCTGAAAAAAAAAAATACATTTTTTTAGAAAGTTTTTCTTGAAATACGATAGTCGTAAAGATTGGAGAAACTACTTCTCAAAGTTTGCTTTTTCATTACTTTTCATTGCATATTTTATATCAAAGACAATGCAATTTGCAATTTATTATTTTCGCATGAAAAATTCTTTATCTTGAAGAAAAAGAAGAGAAAAAGAACGAAATTGAGTCACGATAGTACATGCATTTCCTACAGAAGAATTATTAAAGGAGCGGCAAAGGCACCTTCTTGTGTTAACGGGTAAAAAGAGGAGTCAAATCGTGAAGTTTTTTTGCCAGATGTGATCCATTTTGGTGTCTCGATCAAGTGATCTATCGGATCTCACCGCAGAACATACCCCTTCCTCGCCTTCGAAAGTCACGCACGAGCGCTTTTCTTTTGCCTTCTGAAGCGTGTCGTGTACTCACTCAGGCCTTATCGACACTCGTGGATTTACTACTGCCGAGTACGTATCTAATTGCAACAATTGAAGTTGAATTCTTTCATTTCGCATGCTGTTTGGAATAGAGTGTAGTGCAGTATAAAACATTTGCTTTAGCTTAAAGAAAAACATCATTTCTACTCTATTATCAAGAGATATATTTTCTGTCACAAATTTTTATCTCAAGAAGAAAAAAGAAAGCTATAAATAAATATATTTAACAGTACTTTTGAGAGAATAAAATATACATTTAAACTAACATAATAACAAAATTGTGTTAAAATATCATTGTATTTAATTTATTAAAATTTATTTTTCCAGTGAAAATTAAATTCTATTTTATTTCTAAGATTTTCGTATCTAGTTACCATGTCTAAAGGAGCCATCATTGTACGTCTTTTTATTTGATTGTAACTGCTATTGGCTGCAGCTGCACTTAGAGATATTAAATTACGAATATCGCGTTCGTGTTAAGCCGTAAAGAACTGCAGAAGCCAGAAGTCTCCATCCACACCCGTTGACGACATGTATTAACGGAGTACAAAATTGTACAACTTATATTCAAAAAGCAACTCTTAAAATATTATATAATGTTTATAATGTGTTATATAATATTTGTTACTTTGTACATCATTGTCAGATAACTCTTCTCTTATGGTATATATATATAAATCATCTTCCATCAAAATAACAAATTTAAAATAGCAAGTCGTATAGACAAACATTGATCTTATGTCGTTTGAAAGTTCTACATCTAAGCTGCTATTATTCCATCCAACGATATGTAGTTTGGAGATTGATACTGTACAAAACAAGACACCATAGCTTGGCAGATATTGAACGATACGCTTGTGGCAGATCCATGGTTAGGAGGCAGTTTGATCGTGTTGCTACTCACAGTTCTCTGACCAAGTTTTCAAAACTTTCTCGGAAAGCATCTTTAATATTAAACGATTCCTTAGATGCGGAATACAAAAATTTAACAGGATCAAATCGCAGAAGTTTTTCATTTGTTACCTTCAGTGATTTTCCTTTATTGATTTTCGTTTATTAATTGCTTAGTTTTGATTACTTTTGATATACAATAGTTTGTCAAATTAATGTGAATAAACAGAACGCATAATGATTTTCATTTTATCTTGTATATTTTGGATTCTGTTTTAATGCATAACAATAAATTTCTGCAGAACAATAAATTCGTTATGCTAAATCTAAATAATATACAAAATTCTAATGAAATCTTTTTCAATTGTAACTTTTAATTCAAGTTCATAATTTCATGAACTTTTTAAGTGATCTAAAGAGAAACAAATCGACGTAGACTCATTTTAATTCGAAGTTGCCTTGGTAGATAAGGTTTAGGTCTGATCTCAAGAATTTTACATTCATCGTAAATTGAATAAGCGCGGTATAAATCTACGAATGACGTGAATCTAATTTCTATAATAGTTCTCATTGAATGGGAGAAGGAATTTTTAAATGCTCAGAGCGATTGAGCATTTACCGCAACAACGAATTATTAATGTAAATTAAAAATGATTTATGTTTCAAAAAAAAAAGGTCAACAAACTTACTCGATGATTTTGCCAATTACAATTGGGAGAGGATTCTATTCTTGCTTCGTGACAAATTCAATATATGCAAATAGTGCTGCATACATTGAAAGCTGCGCTTCGATTTGTACTTGTAAACGCTTCACCTTAATGGTTTTCCAGCGGCTGATAGCTGGTCGTTTTAAATTGATCGCGTATCCCGCGCGTGATATCCATTTCAACGGGCCGCGATAGAATTTATTACATTTTTCCAGTATTATTGATCACGATGGAAGTGGCTTGTCGACAGTATTAAGTGTAATTTAAGTGCGATATGAAGAACTGGCGTAAAAATATCGCGGCACCTTTATTATTCTTCCTTACGATATATTATTAGATTTTTTTTACTTCCTCTTGTGTAAAAGCGCCGTCGTCCGTGCGTACATGCGGGCGGTCATTCGCAGATCTTCATTATTACATCGCAGAAGGTACCTGCGACGTAAACGCGTTATACGATACACCTATCCGCTTCCTTCCGACCGTTTTAATTAATGATTTTACCGTAAAACGCTTGCGTCGCCTCACCTCGTTTCTCGGCAAAACTTGGAGCGAGCCTCATTTTATGAGGCGCGAAACGTGTTTGAGTGAAACGCTTCCACTTCGTATCTACTATCTTAGGAAGCAGACTGCCAAGAATGTGTCTTATCGAGATTCGAAAGAGCTGCTTTT